AGGTGTTCTCGGTGGTGGTGATCAAAGAAGGGCTTGGAGTGCTGTGGGGTGTGGTCATCTTGGTGGTGTAAGTGGATCGTAGAGGTGATGCTGGGAGTACTGGGTGGGGTGGTCTCAGTGGTGATCGGAAGTAATGAAGTTGGGGAGTACTGGGTGAGGTGGCCTCAGTGGTGACAAGGAAGTGAAGCTGGGAGAGTACTGGTAGGGGGTCTCCATGGGGTGGATCAAAGAAGAAGTGAAGCTGGGAGTGCTGTGTGAGGTGGTCTCAGTGGTGGTGATTGAAGAAGTGAAGCTGGGAGTTCTGTATGAGGTGGTCTCTGTGGTGGTAATTGAAGAAGTGAAGCTAGGAGAATTGTGTGAGGCAGTCTCGGTGGTGGTGATTGAAGAAGTGAAGCTGGGAGTGCTGTGGGATGTGGTCTCAGTGGTGGTGATCCAAGAAGTGAAGCTGGGAGTACTGTGTGAAGTGGACCCAGTGGTGGTGATCAAAGAAGTGGTAAATGGAAGCACTGTCCAGGTTCCTGGCTGTGGTGATTGAAGAGGTGAATGGGAATAATGGAGTGGTCCGTGGTGGTGATGGAAGAAGGAGCTGAGGAGTACTGTGTGAGGTGGCTCCCTGCTGCGGAAAATAATTGTAGCTATGAGTGCTGTTTGAGGTGTTCTCGTAGTGGTGATTACTGAAGAAGTGAAGCTGGGAGTACTGAGTGAACGGTCTGGCTTGTGGTGACTGAAGAAGGAAGCTGGGGAGTATCAGGGATGTGGTCATCCCAGCGGTGGTGATCGAAGAAGTGAAGCTGGGAGTACTGTTTGAGGTTGTCACTGTGGTGGTTATTGGCTATGGCTTTCTGGGGAGAACTACAGAGGCAGTCTCGGTGGTGGTGATAACAGAAGTGAAGCTGGGGAGTGCTGTGGGATGTGTGATCTCAGCGGTGTGATCAAGAAGGAAGCTGGGAGTACTGTGTGAAGTGGTCTCAGTGGTAGTGATTGAAGAAGTGTAGCTGGGAGTAGGGATGTGAGGTGGTCCCAGCTGTGGTGATCAGGGCCATGAAGCTGGGACTGTGAGGGAGTCCTCGCTAAGGCGATCAAAGCAGTGAATGGGGTATTCCGTGGTGGTGATCTAAGAAGTGGTGAAGCTGGGAATACCGTGTGAGGTGGTCCGGGTTACAGATAAAGAAGTGGGCTGGCAGTGCTGGTTTGAGGTGGTCCTGTGGTGGTGACTGACTCATGAAACTGGGAGTACCAGTGAAGTGGTCTCCAGAGGTGATCGAAGAAGTACACTCGGGAGTACTCTGTGAAGTGGTCTCAGTGGTGGTAATTGAAGAAGTGAAGCTGTGAGTACTGTGTGAGGGGGTCTCACCGGTGGCAGTTCAAATATGAAGTCAGAGCACTGCAAGGTGCTTCGGTGAGGTAGAAGTTGCGTGGTGAAGCTGGGGAGTACCTGTGAGGGGTCCCAGTAGATGATTGAGGTAGTGTAGCTGGGAGCACCAAAGGTGAGGTGGTCCTGCAGTGATGTTTATTGAAGAAGTGAAGCTTGGCAATTGTGAGGGTCTCAGAGGTAGTGTTATCGAAGAAGTGAAGCTTGGAAGTACCATGTGAGGGAGTTCCGTGGTGGTGATTGAAGAAGTGAAGCCGGGAGTGTGTGATGTGTGGTCTCGCTGTGGTGCCAATCAAAGAAGTGAAGCTGTGAGTACTGTGTGAGGTGGTCTCGGTGGTGGTGATCGAAGAAGTGAAACTGGGAGTACTGTGTGAGGTGGTCTCGCTGGTGGTGATCAAGGAAGTGTAATCAAGTACTGTGGGAGGTGGTGTCAGTGGTGGTGATTGAAGAAGTGGAAGCTGGGAGTACTATGAGGGGGTTCTGTGTTGGTGATTGAAGAACTGAAGCTGGGAGTACTGTGTGATGTGGTCTCAGTGATGGTGATGGAGGAAGTGAGGCTGGGAGTGCTGTGTGAGGGAATCTCGGTGTCAGTGATTGAAGAAGTGAAGCTGGAGTACTTGGCATGTGGTCCACAGGATCAAAGAAGTGAAGCTGGGAGTACTGGGGGTGGTCTCGGTGTTGTGATTGGAGAAGTGAAGCTGGGAGATTGTGGGGACGTCACAGTGGTGCTGATCGAAGAAAACAAGAAAACCCAGAGTGCTGTGGGATGTGGTCCTGGTGGTGATTGAAGAAGTGGCTTGTGAGTAATGGATGTGGTCTCGGTAGTGGCAATCTAAGAAGTGAAGCTTTCGAGAGACCAAGTGGGATGTGGTCTCAGTGGTGGTGATTGGAAGTGAAGCTGGGAGTACTGTGTGAAGTGGTCCTGTGATATGATCAGAAGAAGTGTAGCTGGGAGTACTGTGTGAGGTGGTCTCAAGGTTGTGGTAGATTGAAGAAGTGAAGGCTGGGAATACTGTGTGATGGATCCTGTTGGTGGTGATTGAAGAAGTGAAGTTGGGGAGTACTGTGTGAGGAGGTCTCGCTGGTGGTGATCAAAGAAGTGTGGTAGCTGGGAGTGTGAAGTAGTCTCAGTGGTGGTGATTGAGGCAGTGAAGCTGGGAGCACTGCAAGATGGTCCCGCTATGGTGGTCGAAGAAGTGAATGGGAGCACTGTGAGGTCCTAGGATGGTGATTGAAGAAGTATTGGGAGCACTGCTGTGGTGGGTCTCAGGAGGTGGTTATCCTAAACAGAAGCTGGAAGTACTGTGTGTGGGGGTTCCGTGGTGGTGATTGAAGAAGTGAAGCTGGGAGTACTGTGTGAGGAGGTCTCTGTGGTGGGTGGATCAAAAGAAGTAGCTGGGAGTACTGTGGGAGGTGGTCCCGCTTCATGCATTGGAAATATGTAGCTGGGTGCATGCAGTGAGTTGTCCTGGTGGTGATTGAAGAAGAAGTGAAAAGCTGAGTACTGTAGCCAGGTAGGTCCCAGGAGGGGATTGTAAAGGAAGCTGAGAGCACTGTTTAAATGGTCCTCGTGATGGTGGATCAAGGAAGTGAAGCTGGGAGTACTGTGTGAGGAGGTCTCTGTGGTGGTGATCGAAGAAGAAGTGAAGCTGGGAGTACCATGTGAGGGTCCTCGTTTTGTGGATCAAGGATGTGTACCTGGGGAGTGCTGTGTGAGGTGATCCGGTGGTGGTGACTGAAGAAGGAAGCCGGGAGACTGGGTGAGGTGGTGGTGGTGTCGGTGGTGATTGAAGAAGTGAAGCTGGGGAGTACACTGTGTGTGAAGTGGTCCTGCAGAGATCACACAAAGTTGGGGAGTACTGTAAAGAGGTAGTCCTTGAAGTCAAGGAACATTGAAGGTAGCTGGGTGTACAGTGTGAGTTGGTCTGTGGATGGGATCAAAGAAGTGAAGCTGGGAGTACTGTGTGGTCTCATGGTAGATCAAAGAAGTGAAGCTGGGGAGAGTACTGCGTGGATGTGGTCCAGGTGGTGACCAAAGAAGTGAAGCTGGGAGTACCCTGTGTGAGGTGGTCCTCGGTGGTGCCGAAAGAAGTGAAGCTGGGAGTACCTGTGAGGTGGTTCTTGGCAGTGGTGGTGGATTGAAGAAGTGAAGCCTGAGTAACTGTGGGATGTCCCAGTGGTGGTGGATCAAAGAAGTGAAGTTTGGAGTGCTGTGGGATGTGGTCTCAGTGATGGTGATCAAAGAAGTGAAGCTGGGGAGTAACAGGGTGAGGCGGTTTCTGTGGTGGTGGACTGAAGAAGTGAAGCTGGGAGTACCATGAAGTGGGTCCCAGTGGTGGTGTGATTGAAGAAGTGAAGCTGAGTACTGTGGATGTGGTCTCTGTGGTGGTGGATTGAAGAAGTGAAGCTGGGAGTACTATGAGGGGGTCCTTCAGTGGTGGTGATTGAGGAAGTGAAGCTGCGAGTATTGTGGGATGTGGTCTCAGTGGTGGTGGTCGAAGAAGTGAAGTTGGGAGTACTGTGTGAGTGGGTCCCAAAGGTGGTTATGGAAGAAGCGGTTTTGGAAGTACTGTGTGAGGGGGTCTCGGTGGTGGTGATTGAGGAAGTGAATCTGGGAGTACTGTTTGAGGTGGTCTCCAGTGGTTCTGATCAAGAAGTGTAGCTGGGTACTGTGGGAGCTTTGTCCTCGATGGTGGTGATTGAAGAAGTGAAGCTGGGAGTACTGGGTGAGGTGGTCTCAGTGGTGGTGATCAAAGAAGTGAAGTTGGGGAGTACTATGTGAAGGTCCTGTGGTGATTGAAGAAGTGAAACTGGGAGTACTGTGATGTGGTCTCTGTGGTGGTGATTGAAGAAGCGGAAGCTGAGTACTGTGTGGGTGGTCCTCGGGTGGCAGTGATCAGGTGAAGCAAGCTGGGAGAATAGGGATGGTCCCGTGGTAGGTGGTCAAAGAAGTGAAGTTGGGAGTACCGTGAGGTGGTCCTGTGGTGGTGATCGAAGAAGTGAAGCTTTGGGAGTACTGCAGTGAGGGTCTCAGTGGTGGTGAATGAGGTAGTGAAGCTGGGAGCACCGTGCAAGGGGTCCCGTGGTGGTGGATTGAGTGGTGTGTAGCTGAGCACCAAAAGGAGGTGGTCCCGGTGATCAGACCCACACAGTTTGGAGCACTGTGTGAGGGGGTCTCAGGTGGTTACCGAAAAGTGAAGCTGGAAGCACTCTGTGAGGGGGTCTCTGGTGGTGATCAAAGACGTAAAGCTGGGAGTACTGGGGATGTGTCCTGTGGTGGAATCGACATGAAGCTGTGAAGTACTGTGTGAGATCTCAGGTAGGATCAAAGGAAGCTGGGAGGACTATAAGGAGGTGGTCTCAGTGGATGGTGACTCAGCAAGTGCTTGGGAGCACTGTGGATGTGGTCTCGTGGTGGTGAATCTGCTGGCTGGGAGTACTGTTTGAGGTGGTCCTTAGTGATAGTGATCGAAGAAGTGTATCTGGGTGTACTGTGTGAGGTAGTCTCGGTGGTGGTGATTGAAGAAGGAAGTCAGTACTGTGCGAGGTGGTCTCGGTGGTGATCAAGAAGTGAAGTTGGGAGTGGCATTGTGTGAGGTGGTCCTTGGCAGTGGCGGTGATCAAAGAAGTGTAACTGGGTGTACTGTGTGAGGTAGTCTCAGTGGTGGTTATTGAAGAAGTGAAGCTGGGAGTGCTGTGTGTCAGTGGTGGTTATTGAAGAAGTGAAGCTGGGAGTGCTGTGTGAAGGGGTCTCGGTGGTGGTGATTGAAGAAGTGAAGCTGGGAATACTGTGTGAGGGGCTCTCACTGGTGGTGATTGAAGAAGTGAAGTTGGGAGTACTGTGTGATGTGGTCTCCAAGACAGTGATTGAGGAAGTGAAGCTAGGAGTACTGTGTGAGGGGGTCTCAGTGGTCGTGATTGGAGAAGTGAAGCTGGGAGTACGGTGTGAGGTGGTCTCGGTGGTTGTGATTGAAGTGAAGCTAGGAGTACTGTGTGAGGTGGTCTTGGTGGTCGTGGTTACCAAGTTTGTTGTAGGAACTGTGGCTGTTACTGTGGTTGGAAGAGACAAAGAGGTGGGTCGGAGAGAGGTCACAGTGGACAATGTACCGGTCATACTGGTGGAATAGGTGGTTCTGACCGTGGAATCTGTGAGAGCACTAGTAAGAGAAGTAGGGTAGGTGGTCTCAGATGCAGGTGTAGAACTGGTGTCGTAATTGGATAATGTGGTCACCAAGGAAGACAAAGGGGTGGTGTTTGTGGTACCACTGGTGATCGCTTCTGTACTTGGGACAGGCATAGAAGATGAAACGCTACTGGTGAATGATGGTAACGTATTAGTGGCTGTGGGCAGAGGGTTGGTAGTTGTCATAGATGTCAC